GAAGGAATGCGCTGACATAATCCCCACGGGTACCCGTGAAATATTTTAGCCACGGGTACCCGTGGCCCTATTAGCTCCCCTGATGCACCGACTGACTGAGTCATCAACTTCGTAACCCCACTTACCTAGACTTGATCTCTTGCTCTGCCAATGCCTTTGCCTAATCCCTCCTTCCTATTTAATATTTCATGTGCAGCAGTCACGCACTACCTAAAAATGTGTTGTTTACTGTGCTTACTGGGAGGCTCGGCTTTTCACTCTTCCTTATCCTTTTCATTCATCTTTCTCTCTGCTCTGCTCTGCTCTGCCCCTGTGTCTACTGCTAACGTGAATAGGAACCGAATATTAAGGTGAAAACCTTAATAAAATAACGAAGAAAACATGGCTCTCGAAGTAGTAGAGCATGTTTACGCTTGCATAATGATCACGATCGCCCTTCTTGGGCTCGGGGTGGCCACCTTCTGGCGTTTTCTCCGCCGCCCGGCGTTCGAGGCCAGTGGCTGCCCCCACTGCTCGCATTGTCATCCCCCGGCCGCCTCTCACGCCTGGCTGTCCTGGCCCGCGTCGTGGCTGCAGCCATGCCGGCGAGTGGCCGTGGGCACGTTGTTCCGGTCCCTGTCTTGGCTGCAGCCCCTGCTACAATCATGGGCTTCTTTCTATTGCGACATCAACATGCTGGATTCTACCCAGTAATGCTAGTTTCGAAGCCTTGACAAGATCCTCGACAAAAAAATATCCATCTGCGGAAGAATGGGGCGCATGCTAGCCATATTGAGGGCACCATGTCAACCGACACATCGATCTAACAGATCAAGTCAACACTACCGTTCGCTCTTCATCTCCCGGTGAGTTCCTTATCAATGTCGGCAGTAGACAAAAGGCGGGCAGAGCAAGAGCAAAACAACTTCTCCTTCTTCTTCTCCTTCTTCTCCTTCTTCTTCCCTTCTTCTTCTATCTCTTCTACTACTACTAAGCACCGCTGTCGTAAGTTCCTATATGCTCAAAAAACTAGGCCTTATAGCTCTCTTTCTCCAGAATTGCTGATTGACTGATGATTCTACATCAGCTACTTCACAGCAAAAAATCCACACCGACAGGAACCTCCGCTGATTTCCGTCAACGCCGCTTTTGGGATGCGACAAGATCAAAATTTCTCATACCGACACAGATCCCAGTGACTGTAATCCCAAGTGTCTTGGAGGGCTTTCAGACTGCAGCGATTTGGGCTGATCCGGCTGCGCAGGACTGTGTTTTGATTAGAGAGACGTCAAAGGTTTTGGTTGTCAAAGAGTCATTACGATGAGTACTATTAAGGGGAGATTTTCTTTGAGTTTGGTCGTCAAAGAGTCATTGCAATGTGTACTATCAAGGGGAGATTTGCTATTATGACTAAGCTCTATTCTGCGCGATGATTTGGTAGTATCTCTACCAGCATCAATCTGTATGGTGCGACCAAAAATTCTTCCATTAATGATGAATCACTGATTTTGCGCAATGTCATGTCGTTATGATATAAGTCCAAAGCTCTGTAATCAGCGCCCAGATTGTGCTGTCAAAAGGCGACAACGGAAGGGAAAAGCCGGAGGTCGATTTGTGGATGCAACTTAGTGACACCGCTTGTCAAGAAGCTCCGAGATTGCGCCACCACTCTCCCTCCTTTGAATCGCGGTTTATCGCTCAATAGAACTCGTGTGGAAAGACTTTTGACCAATGTTCGCTCAATATAGTTCATTCCGAGTGGTGGAAGCTGCTTCCATGGAAACTCCGGTTTCTATCACCCTAACCCAGAACAGTAACGCCGTCCGTGACACCAGGAGCGTACCGTCGTACCCGACAAACACATTGAACCATAAGAAGGGGGAAGGATAATCAGAAAATTATAGTTTAATCTGTAAGATGATAAGTATAAGCAAACAAATCCCGCGATGCGAAACGGCCGACGGAGCGCATCACCACCTCCGCGGGCTTCGTCCCACCAGAACCTCGGCATCGATGGAGCTCGAGCCACTCGGCAGCAGGTTCTCGATCTCTCTCCCCACTTACCCCAGGCATTAAGAGCTCCTCGATATTTACCCCAGCTCCCCGCCTCTTGCACCACTTCTATATATACTGGATGTGTATCGAAGTCCCATCTATCGCGTCGCAGAGCATCAACTCAGAAAAATACCCACAATGTCGGACCGGATTGCGCAAATCACGAACCACCTCAACTACCCCAAGGGTCTCCTCGCCGGACAAGTCGCCATCGTCACCGGCAGCGGGCAGGGCATCGGTGCCGAAACTGCGCGTCTCTTTGCCAACGAGGGCGCCAAGGTCGTCGTCACCGACATTGATGCCAGTACGCGTCTCCCCTTTCCCCCTCTTCAGCCATCACCGCCAGACCGGTAAACTCACTCGTCACTTGCAGAGAAGAGCGCCGCCGTCGCCGACGCCATCAACAAGTCTGGCGGCCAGGCCATCAGCGTCCCCGGCGACGTCCTCGACAAGACCTACCTCCAAGTCCTCGTCGACCGCGCCGCTGCCTTTGGAAACGGCAAGATCCACATCATTGTCAACAATGCCGGCTACACCTGGGACGGCGTCATCCACAAAATGACGGACCAGCAGTGGGAGACGATTCTCGCCCTGCACGCCACCGCGCCTTTTAACCTAATCCGCCTCGCCGCGCCCTACTTTCGCGTCAAGGACGGCGAGCCGCGCTGCATCGTCAACATTTCGTCCACGTCGGGCGTCCACGGCAACGCCGGACAGATCAACTACGCGCTGGCCAAGGCTGGCGTCATAGGCTTCACCAAGACGATTGCGAAAGAATGGGGGCCGCAGTTTGGCGTGCGCGCCAACGCCGTCGCGTTTGGGCATATTGCGACGCGGCTGACGGCGGCCAAGGAGGAGGGCGCGTTCGTTGAGGGCCCCGACGGAAAAAAGATTGCGCTGGGCATCCCGAAGGCGCAAAAGGGAACGGGGTCCGGCGCAGCGCCGGCAAAGAGCGACATTCCGCTGGGAAGGCCGGGCACGGCGACAGAGGCGGCGGCGGCTATCCTGGCGGTGGCCAGTCCCTTGTTTTCGTACGTCACTGGCCAGACCATCATGGTGACGGGCGGCCGCAACATGTAAAACAGACACGAATAGACATGTAAAATACACAAATACGAGCTCAAAGAACCCACCGGGTTGGACATTTCATGTATTAATTGTAAGCGACACAGCCTGTGCCTGCCATTCCGCCGTTGAAAATATGTTACACGAGGGCATGCGTTGCATTTCTTCCCATTCTCCCTGCCATTACACAATCTTTTCATTTAAACCTTGAGCCACAGGCTCAGCACACCCTTGGCGTACTCGACAATCTCATCACCGCCGAGCTTGGACTCGCCGTACAGGCGGTCAACAAACGTAATCGGCACCTCCGCGACGGTGCAGCCCATGGCCTTGGCGCGCACCATCATCTCCATCTGGAACGTGTACCCTTTGCTCTCGGTGCTGGAAATGACCTTTTCGAGAACACTCTTCTTGTAAAGGCGAAACGACCCCGTGAGGTCGCTGACGCCCGGGCGCAGCACCGTGTCGGCAAACAGGTTGGCACCGCGGCTCACAAACTTGCGCCTGAGGTCCCAGCCAAACACGCCGCCGTTGCCCGCGTAGCGCGTGCCAGTCACGATGTCGTAGTTGGCCGTCTTCTGCAGCGCAATCATCTGCGGGATGAACTTTGGGTGGTGCGAAAAGTCGGCGTCCATGATGATGACAAAGTTGCCCGTCGTGAACTGGAGACCGTGCACGTACGCCGTGCCGAGGCCTAGCTTGCCCGCGCGCGGCTTGAGGACGACGTGCGGCGCGTACGCCTTGACGAGCTGGTTGGCCACCTGCTGCGTACCGTCGGGGGAGCCGTCGTCGACAATGATGAGCTCCCAGTCGAGCTTGCTGGGCGGGGTCAGCGGTGTGTTCTGTTCTTGTGGAGGGGGGGCGCGTGGCAGTGTGTTGTAGCGTCGACTTACGCATCGGTAAAGGTGCGATTCAGCAGCCAGGTGATGATGGGCAGGTTGCGGCGTTCATTGTAGGTCGGGAGAATGACCGAGTACTTGTTGCTGGTAGCCTTGGGAGCCATTGTGAAGTCGCGTCGTGGTGCTCGTAGGGACGTGGTCGAGGTGATTTCTGAGGATAACGAAGTCGGACGAGAAAAATTGTCGGAGAATCGCGCTAATTTATAGGAGTACAGGGAAAGAAATGTCGAAAAGAATGTGAACAAGTTGGGTGCTCGAATTGCCTGGAGAAGGAGATTCGTTCGTCGCGATACAGGAGCCACCTTCAGGACAGCTTGTCAAGGTGGGTGACTAAGCTGGAGTGACCCCTGAGAAATATGGGTGCGCACGTCCAAACACTGCTTCAAAATGAAACTAGACAATTCGAGGAATCAAGGCTCAAGAATCTAACTGACGCCGCGCTGTTGGTCTTTTATCGGCTTTATCGACCATGAAAGGGCCGGGTCGAGTGGTTGTGAACCCTTCATCACTGGATGGGCGCTGGCTATGCCCTGACAATGGCTTCTCAACCGCATCTCTGATCAACGTCAATAGCCAGTGCAACAATACTTCACCCGAGCACCAAAGAAATCGCTGCGATTCTTAGATGAATAGCATATTCGATATTCAAAGTAATCCCTGGACGTACGCCAGATGGAAGCACGAATCGTCCGTCTTCAAACAGACTGAGCAGATTTAATGCATTTTTCCGTCCCGTGTTCCCGCTGCATCTTTCAGATCGCTGTGCAACTGCTAGTCAAGCTCGGATTGTTGAACCTCGCCCTGATATCCAACGTCTCGATGATTTCGCAGGATCCAGCGCAAAATCAGAGTCGATATTATCCCTATTCTGCCAATCACTCGAGCCCTTCGGAATCACGGAGCGCCCCGCGTTGACCCCCCGCTCTGCTTGAACATTTGTTCGGTGGCGGATGGCACGCTGACATTGACGACCGTGGTGTGGTCGGATTGCTTCTTTTCGATGCTTAACAGGGCTGACACCGGAATCAGCACGGCTGCTTCTCAGACGCGGCGTAGAAACTCACGAGAGAAGTTTGGCAGGCTCAAAGATGTCGGTATTGGACACCAAGCTATCTAGCTTGCCCTATGCTCCACTCGCCACCGCGACGAAGCTCGTCGCCCGTCTTGAGGTCGGTGATGTCGCCTGCGAGTTCGTGCAGCTCGCCTGCAGTCTGACACGAGGTTTCTTGCTTTTCGATTTGGGCGGCAGCTTTCAAGAGAATTTCTGAGCTCACAGTCTCGAAGCAGATCGAATAGTTGACTGCAACTTTTGCGCCGCCTCAGGTATTCTACCCTGACGGCGCTACCGATGCCCCGGTGATGCAGGCGCATTGCCGCGTAGCAGTCCCCTGATTATATTTTGTTTCATTTTCGTGTCAACCGATGCCCGTTCTCGGGTGTTTCGCCTTGCCATCGTCTGATAGAAGCTTAAGTGGCCTGATAGAGCTCGACGGGTTGCCCGTTGGCACCCCCGCGATTGACTTATACCCAAAAGTTTCAGACTAAGCGCAGGTTCGCACTCTAAAACCAGGGATCGAGAAGGCCAATTTGTCGACGATGGGGAGACTCGTATTGCACCAAAGCCCGGGTTGGTATATTGCTGCTAAGATTCCGCCATTGCCGAGCCTGGAAATGCTCTGGACTTCAAGCCGTCAACGCCCTCGTTTCACTGACTTCCCCGCAAACCCCACACATTTGAATCTAGATAACTGAAGTCCTCGTCTCGGGGGCACTATTCCGCAGACTCGGCTAAAGGGACTAGCGAACGAGCGTCTCGAGCTGAGCATCGCTGTTGATCGGGGTTGCAGTAAACCTCAAGTACAGAGGGGTGAGAGGCCAAGTCCAAGCTGGGCTAAGAGCGGCTGAAAAATGTAGCTCAATTACAGGTCCTCTGCAGATGCGCTACAGAGGCTGCCTCGACAGAAGGCGCTCGAGAAGGATCTACACACTATTGCGGATGGGTGGCAGTGTTTGATCGTTGGGCAGCCGATCTAAAACGGGTCTCGAACCTGTGGGACGACATCTGAGACAACGTGGTGTAGGCGGGCAACACGAAGCTTCATAAACTTACACCAACACTGGAAGGACCGCATCGCGAAGTTTGAGGGCGCCGCGGCAGAGATCGTCACACTGCTCGAGGCAGTCCGCAAGACACTGGAGCATGGCGCGCAGCAGCAGACACCAGCCGAGAGTAGTCTATAAATCAACAGCCAGTCAATCAACAGCCAGTCAATCAACAGTCAGTCAATCAGCAGGCAGTCAATCAGCAGGCAGTTAATCAGCAGCCAGTCAATCAGCATCTCGTGCTTGGTTACTGACTAAACGGCTGTTAATTGATTGTCTTCCGGCCTGCCTTGAGTAAGGTGTCGATCTCTACAGTATCCGCCGCGCCGACCTCTTCTCTACTCCCAACCAGCAAACTCCCGCCCCCCTCCTCCTGTGCCAGCTCCTGTGGCTGTGCATGTGTCCGTGAACGGTTTTTGCTGCATGGCGGCAGGCGGCCGCCATGAAGAAGACGACGAACGTCGAGCTTGGCGTGCTCGATAACGCTCCCGCCTCCTCAGCTCCCACGCTCCCACCACCGGGCCGCACTCCCCCCAACCTCCTCCTATATAATCGGCCGCTTGAAGTTCGAGGAGGAGGCTACTTAATCAGCAGCTAGTTAATCAGCAGCTAGTTAATCAGCAGCTAGTTAATTAATGGCTGGTCTTAATCTACACCTAATCTTAATAAGTAGTTAATTAGTATTAACTAGCTATTAATTCCCTGGCTGTTGATTAACGGGCTGCTGGAGTACTATCTGTACCATCTGCAAAAGACCTGTAGCGCATCTGCAGTGCATCCTCACCGCCTTGGTGTCACGCCAAAAATCACAGACGCCTGTCTCTTGGCGTTCAATTTTGTCCCTTATATGTGACACTTGGCCTCTGGACTTGAGGTTTTACTACCTGCCCCCTTTGATTAAGCGTTTGGGGCTCAGCCGACAAAAATTGGAATACTTACTTCGTCTGCCGATACGCCCTTCGCCCACGAAACAGAGGTGTGCACTTTGAAGAAGACGACATCCTCTTTTAGGACAAAGACGCCACCGAGAAGAAACATCAGGCCGAATTTTCTACATTGAGCTATCGCAAGTCCGCCACAAAGGCGGCCGACTTGCTGCTACAAATTCGAAATACCTGCCCCATCTATTTCGCACAGGGAAGACGACAAGTGTATGGCAAAGAAAATATGAGTTGAAGAATAAAGCCATTGGTTGCCAAAAGGCTGTCTAGATCAAGCTGTCGACGTACTCCTGGAAGATCTGCTCGCAGTCAGAGTCAAACACGAGACTCAGCCTCTTGGCATCTTCAAAGTCCGAAATCTGTGGCCACTTCTTCAGCAACCTCTCGGCTTCGACATTGCGTTCCACCTTCAACAACGCCAGCTTCTCCTCGCCGCACACAGCGCAACCGCCCTGACCGTGCCGCTGACCGTCACGAATATTCCCGGCATGTACACGGCGCGGGTATGGGCCGGCATCGATCGCTCAGCGCCTCCGTGACGCGAACAAAATTCTCAGTCATGATGCGCGGGCTGCAAATGACTTGTCTGACCGAGTAGTCGTCAATCGGCATGACACATTCTTGTCCTGGCATTGGTTTGCGCACCATGCCGCTCAAGCAGGATGAAGCCGAGCGGCTGGGCGCCCCTGGGCGAACCGTCACCGTCGGCGATCGGACGCTAAAGGCGTCTAAAAGGCTGCGACGGTGAAGGTCATTGACGAATATTTCCATCATGAGCTTGTGCGTGCCGTATACTCCGACGGGAGTCGCTGGCGTGTCGTCAGTGATGGTTCCGTTTGTTGTGTATGGAGGTCCATATACGACTTGCGTCAGTCGCCGTTGTGTAGCCTCGAAACGGCTGTCAGAAGAGCCTGCGTCGCTTCAATGTTGACCTTTGTGGAGAGCGCAGGGTTCGTCTCGCATCCCACGCACATGATACTGTGAATAATGAAAATGGCATTCCAACTTGAATTAAGAGCGAGTAGTCGGGTGATTTCCTCTCCGACTGTGAGGTCGGCGCCGACGCAGATGCATCGCTCGTTGTCAGAGAATCCTGTCGGCGGCGACGGCGCCCTGAGGTCCGTCAATCCCACGCGGTTCGCGCTGTTCTCGAGTAGCTTGCTGGCCAGTATGGGCCCGAGAAAGCCTGCAGCGCCTGTAATGAGAATGTTGTTTGCAGCAGTCATTATATTGTCTGATCCAGAACATGGAAAATACTTTGCGGGATCGAGTCGATTGATGTAAAGATGGCGACAATGAAGCCTTTCACATGCTTACACTCCTGAATGCTGACGAACATGGCTTCAGTGTACAAGCAGCTTCGTCATGCTTGAACCTCGTCTCGAGCATCCAAAAATTTTGATATACATGTTGGGGAACTCGTAGAGTAACATAAACCCAGCGAGGTCGTCTCGTCTCGAGGCCCTCGATCCGTCGCGGGCGTTGGATACGCCGATTTATTAGGGATGAGTGGCTTGGAATGGTGGGACGTGCCAGCCTGCAGAGCTGAAAGGCGTATCATTTTGGAACTTTTGCCACATGCATCTTCCGACGCCCGGCGCAGATTTTTACATTTCTTGCTAGCGACGCATCGTCGTACACGAACAGGCTCTAATCTCATTATAAAAGTAGGGTTCACGCTACTATGACGGAGTTCATGTAACCTCTGCACTATGAAGAACCCAAAAGTGAATGAAATGGTATATAAATAGAACTACTAATGCTTGCGCAGGCACGAAGCGCATAAGTGCAGATTACGCACGACACACCGTGTGCTACACAGGCCAGTGTCTGCGAGAGAGAGCGAACGCGGTTTCCTATCTACAAATACAGATCTAACGTTAGCCCTCGAAGGTATATATTTCATCATGCCAGCAGAACACGTGTCTCTTTTATTCCATCAAAAGCCTCCGGCAAGTCCCTATCTTTTCAGGGTTCGGGGATACCGAGTCTCTGACTGCTAAGAATGCCGCGCAAGGCCTGTGACCCGACTACTGATTCAAATATGAAACTTCAACTCGCCCTTTGTCCTCAGCCATACAAACTCAATCTTATATAGCTCGGCGCAGTCGGCTACCGGTAAGGAGATGCCGAACCGCCACCAAACCATCATGAAGAGGTGGAGCGATCCTCTTGCTGTGTACCACTTATGGGCCGGCGGCCGAGGACGCCGGCGAGTTGTCCAGATCGCTACCAGTCGATTCCAAATATCAAATTCATGCCTGATGCGGAGATGTAAAGTTCATCATCTACGAGTAATGTTAACGGAGGCGTTTTCGCCCCTTCTTTTCGCTTTTTCCCTACCCCACCCCTTGTGGGTAAATCTCGTCTGTGTCAAGATAAGCGAAGTGGAGGCTGTTCAGCCTTTATAGTAATCCATCCGTCAAAGCGCCTTGAGAGATGGCGAGCATCTTGACATCATCTCCGGGGGGGTGGTGGGTGATGGGGAAAAACCGATTCGGGCCCGTGGAAACCGGACCTATCTGGACGAGCGGCGGTTCTTGATATAGGTCGAATCATAGTATTGGAGCGAAGCGAAGCGCTAAAGAACCCGTTAACGGATCAAGCACTAAATAATCCGTTAACCGATCGAAAACTTTAAACGATAGCGGGACAGGGATGAGTGTGGTGGAGAGCATCCTGCGGCCAACTGTTCAAACACTTGTTTCGACACTTCGGCAGTCGGTAGTCGGCAGTCGGCAGTCAGCAGTCAGCAGTCGGCAGTCAGCGCAGGCCGTTATTGTTCCATCAAATATAGAGGAGAGTGGCCTATATATATGAGCTATCACATCTCTTGGCGATGACTGTTTGTACAACTTGTCTTTAACAAACCTCATCAATTTAATTACAACTTGCCCCTTGATTATCCACTATGCCTACCCACGAATGTTATCGAAAATACTCGGAGAAGATTCTCTATCCCGGTACCCCGGACTACGAGACATGCAGACGCAACAATCCTAGTGGAGATGCTCCTGATGCATACCCTGCAGAAATCCACGTGGTTCATGATGCGGAAGACATTGTGTTTGCACTGAAGCGGGCAAACGAGTTGAAGAAAGATGTTGGTGTTCGATCAGGCGGCCATACCCTGACCAACGGAGCCATCTTTACGGGCATTCTCATCGATACCACTCACCTCAACCGAAGCGTGCAATACGATTCAGAAACCCATGGCATCACCTTTGGCCCTTCGGTGCGGGTTCAGGAATTGGCGGAAAAGCTGCGGGAAGTCAATCGTTTCTACCCTCACGGCCACTGTCCCACCGTCGCGGCGGCTGGCTTCCACCTCGGTGCCGGGCAGGGCGTAGGCATGCGAGGCTGGGGCCCGACTTATCGCGACTGGGTCACCCAACTGGAAATCGTCGTGGCCGACGGCCGCATTGTAATTGCCAGCGCCGAGGAAAACGCCGACCTTTTCTGGGCGGCAAGAGGAGGCGGTCCTGCCTTTTTCGGTGTCATTACGAAATTTTGGGGAAAAACGATTCCTCGAACAAAATGGTGGGGTCAGCATCTTATTTTCGAGCTGGGCAACAACTACAAACCTCTGGTGAAGTGGTTTGTTGAGCGGTCCAAGGAGACGCCGAGAATGGGAACTGAACTCAACGCTGCCATCTTATACCCGGAAAAGGCAAAGGCGCAGAGTCTTCCAGACAAGCCGCCCGCAGAGTCGAGCCTCAAATTCCTCGTCACCAATATTGCCATTGCTGATACCGAGAGCAAAGCGAAAGAAATGCTCGCCGCTTATGAAGAGATTCCGACTGAACTCAGGTCGTCCGTACTGGAGTCTTCCTGGAAGGAAGTGACCTTGGAGAAGATGTGGGAGGAACAAAACATGCTGTGGAATAGCGAAAGCAGTGAGCATTGGCGGTTTCAGAGCCTTTGCACGGACAGCTCGGTGGATTTGGACAAGGTAAGCCCTCTAGATCCCCCCCCCGGCCCCCCCGGGAGTGTCTGATCTGACTGAGTATCAAGTTGCTCGATGCTGCGGAACCAATTCAGACGGACATTCCCACGCTCAGATCGGTTTCCCTTCTCGTCATCCCCAGCTGGGAGCCGGACGAGGCAGCTTGCGCATATAGCGTGCCGATTGAGCTGTACTTTTGTGCATTCGCGGGTTGGGCGGACCCAAGCCTGACACCCTCGATGAAGGAGCACTGGCAATCTCGATACAAGAAGTTGTTGCCGTACTCGTCCGGCACGTTTGCCGCAGACTACGACGTGACTTCTGATGAGGCAAATGTAAGCAAATCAAAACCAGATTCCCCCCCTCCTCCCCCGACTCATGGCACCATGATCTGGATTCAAAGTTTCTGACAGCCACACTTCTCACAGTCGACACCATTATCCAACACGGCTCTGGCACGATTCATGGATATTGGTAAGAAATGGGACCCGCAGCAGTTGTTTCCGATGAGGAACAAGTATGTCTTGACTTCTGAGAAGATGAAGAAGCTATGGCAGAAGTCTTGAAATGTTTTGGGAAAATTGTGATTTCGTTTGTTTCGTTTTAGACTATTGATATTTGCAAAAAGAACGGTGAGATTGTCATTATAAGATGGCGGAAATGAGTCTTGTCCAAGTTATACGCGGCTAGTCTAGCTATAAGCCTTCAAACACTCCGCTCTAAGAACCAGTTTTTTTCAATTTATCTTTTACTGTATTTAGCTCTTTTCATCGAGCCTTTACAATCTTGTACCTTGTCCAGCGCCCCTGGGACATGCCGTCGCCCGACCACAAATGTAGGGGCCGCCTGGACATTGGGACCCAATAGGTGCAGCCCCATACACAAGCGGCCAATACATACCATCAAACCAAAGGCCAATCAACACTGTCACCGACGTTGTTATCATGAGCCGGCCGCTTCGTGCTGTTGAAGCAGAAAAATTGTATGTTTTTTTTTATCTAGTACCGCCTCTGATCGATTTTGATAACCATTCGTGGCAGATACAAATCCATACTTGGGTATGCAGAAGCGCAAAGGCAAGACGACAACCGCTTCAACAACTCCGGGCGGAGCTCAAAGTTAGGGATTGACGTATTTAGCACAGGCTTGCAAACAAATGAATAAATTCAAGTTTGGGGTTGGATCTGAGTTGCATGGATTATAGAAACTTTTAATCTGATTTATTTGAATCAAGGCTCTTCCAGATTTAATTTGTTTATCCCATTTGAATAATTCCACGCCTTTCCCACGACCATGTGCACTGCGCCGCCCCGATGAAGTCCGCCTTCAGCCTTTAAATTTAATGCGCTGCAGTTTCTGGCCCCAAAGCATCGCGCTATCACACTCTGCATATTAAACCATTTGTTCATTGAACAGGCAAGCCGCTTACGCGGAGACTGTGGCGTCGAGTCTTTTGGAATGTCGGATCAAACGCCCCGAAGTCCTAGAGAAAAAACTCTGAAAGTTTTATTCGATAGACGGTTGAGTCACTTTTCGTTTTTCGTCTGAACAGTAATCAGCATGAACAGTAGTTTAAAGTTCTGCCCTCTTCACTAGTGCCCGCGGACTTGGAACAACGTTGCGACAAGTTGGTGATTGGTGGCCGAGGCCCGAGGCTAGGATTTGCTAGTTGGTCCTCTTCTGTAACTGTCATAGAAGAGAGTAATCAGGCCCGAGCGCACCAACTGGCATGTACAAAATGTTGTGCCTTGCCTCGCGATTGCAGAGTAAACATCTCCAATATACTTGAGAGAAAATAATTCCACGTTGCATTTTCGTTGTCGCCAAGGCAGTTGGCAACGTTTCACCAATACACCGGATCATCCAGCAAGTCCCGTAGTAATAATGGCTCATCGCGAAACCGCCGAGCGCTCAAAGCCAGTGTTGGCCAACGACGTGCAACACCCAGCAGAGTTTCAAAACCACATTTATGCGAATGGTGCGAGAGGCGAGCTTTCTGAGCTCCCATTCACCTTTGCCGAACTCGAGAAACGCGCCCAGTCCACTTTGGATCCAGGAATGTTTGGATATGTTGCGGGCGGCTCAGGAGACGAACACACGCAAAACGCCAACGTGTCTGCCATGTTAAAGTACGGCTTCGTGCCGCGGATGCTCAAGGATCGATCCGCCAGAGACATGTCGACCGAGTTTCTCGGACGACGATTTGCGACGCCGACATTTCTCTGTCCCGTTGGCGTCCTGGGAGCGGTGCACAAGGACGGCGACTTGTGCACGGCATCGGCGGCAAAGGAACTCGACATGATGGCAATGTACTCGACTCTCTCCGAAGCAACCATGGAAGAGGTGGCAGCAGCACGCGGGAGCTCCTTTGGCGTATTTCAGCTGTACCCTCCCGCTGACCGCACCCTCACGGCAAACTTTGTCAAGCGCGCTGAAAAGGCCGGCTTTGACGCGCTCGCCATCACCCTGGACACGGGCATCCTCGGCTGGCGGCCGCGGGACCTGGCGCACGGCTACATTCCTTTCCTCAAGGGCCACTGCCTCGCAAACTACACGTCGGATCCGCGCTTCCTCGAGATGGTGGGCGTTTCCTCCGCCGACGAGCTCACCCCGCAGCACGCGGGTGCCTGGCTCACCCGCATCTTCACCAACCTCGCGTTCACGTGGGAGGATGTCGCGTGGATACGCGGCCTGACCACGCTGCCCATTATACTAAAGGGCATCTGCCATCCGCGCGATGCGGAAAAGGCGCGCGAGTATGGCGTGAATGCCATTGCCTACTCCAACCACGGCGGACGGCAAGCAAACGGCGGCGTCGCCGCCATTGACGGCCTCGCTGCCGTGGTCGAGGCTGCCGGTCCGCTGCCCGTCATCTTCGACTCTGGCGTGCGCAACGGCGTGGATATTCTGCGAGCCATTGCCCTGGGCGCGACAATGGTGGGCGTCGGCCGGCCGTATGTGTATGGTTTGGCGATTGGTGGACAGCGCGGGGTAGAGCATGTGATGCGCTCGTTGCATGCCGAAGCAGATCTCAACATGGCGGTCAATTGCTATCTCGGGCTGCAAGACTTGGAGGTTACGCGCGTCGTCGTGTAAAAAAAATCCGGGAAAAAGACGAGCACGCAAGATTGATGACGCGCACCTGTAACCGATGAGCCCTTAGGAAAGCTAACAGTGCTTTGACAAAAAAAAAAAAAAAAAAAAGAAAAAAAAATTCACCACAAGCGAACACGCTCGGGTGGCAAGCTGCCTTTTATTAGTTCCCTTCTTGTTGCAGTAACTTGATGAAGTAAAAGTAGGGTACGGATTTTTGTTTGCAAAAATTGCCACTGGTAAACAGTGCTCCTCATCGTGGCGAATGGCGTGGAAGAGAACTGGCTGGTCTGATATGAGAGTTTCGACAGATTTTTGTGAAATTATCTTTGACCGGCCTCATCGGGAGAATAGATGTGCAGAACCTGTGACAACTCGATTAGACACCAGAAAGAGCCATATACTCAACTCTCCAACATATTTTGGTACGGCCCGCTTTGCATAACTAGTACCTTGTTTGGGTCTACGGCCCGTCCGGAGACGGCCCATCCCGTGCGGATGTGCGATGCGCTGGCTATGTTGGCAAGGTCGATGCGAATGTGGATAAGGCATGAGTGGTCTCCGTTTCTTTTTTTCTTTGGCGCGTCTTCTATTTCTTGTCTGTGAGACTTGAACTCATACACCGGTGTCCTGGCGGTATCCGGGCGGGCTGCAGTTGTCATCTGGATTCCGCCACGCTCGCCCGGGACGTCGGTGCCTTTCTCCGCAATCCGCGGATGTATATTTGACTTATACGTCCCATGTCGCATGACCGTTGCACACCCGTCGTAAAAGACTGCTCGTTCAGACAAGTCTCCCCAAGCCCACCAATCACAGAATACATGTCCGCTGTACATCGGAGCCAAAGTGCCAAAGCCCGGCCGAGTACGGACGCTAGCAAAAGACCGGCGCCGAACTACTGGCTTAATGCGCAGTATGGTGGGAACAAAGCAAGAAACGAGGATAATTGTCCTCCATCATTGCATCAATGTTTGCATACAATGTAACCCTATATTGCGGAGTTGCACGCAACGTGCATATTTTTCGCTCTGTAAGTCAATGAAAATTGCGGAAAGTCCGCGGGTTATGTCCGCTGCTGACATCCATCGCGAGCGTAATGGGCTGAGGCATCCATATACTTGCGGGGGCAGGCATCTTCTCATCGAGGACCACATCGGGCTCGCACTACTCAAATATGACCGAGCCGAACCCGGGGAATTCAAGCTCCCATTGACTTGCATCAAAAATGGACACTATTTGCATCCGGCAAGGCATACGGGTTCCAATACGAGTGACTCTCCGCGAATTATGTCATGCCGCATCACTTTGTCCCCGGGTTTGCCTCCGCGGGCATTACTTCATGCCGGTCCGTCAGCTGGCAAAAGTGCCGGCATAGTTTGCAGGCAATTTGGTTCGATTGACCGATTGTCCGGACTTGAACTCATATAAGTATGTCTGCATGATCAGTGTGCTGCAATGACCTGCAAGCCTACTAGGTGAACAACTCAAACAACAAATTCAACTTGATTCAAAATGTACTCTGCACAGAACATCTCAAGCTGGGCTCACCAGCTAACGCTGCGAGATAAATTTGCTATTGTGGCTATTCCTGTAGGTTGTTCCCTTGTTTGACACATTGTCTGCAATAAACGTTCTAGTCTCACAATTCATCAATCTTCTTGCATAGGCACTGGTGTACATTTTCCTCCTTGTCGTCTACCGCATCTGGTTCCATCCGCTGTCCAAGTATCCCGGACCCAAGCTACAGGCCGCCTGGTATCTTCCTCACATCTACCACAACTACGTTGTCGGCAACGGCCATTTACGCGCCACGCGCCTGCACGCCCAGTACGGCCCGATTGTCCGCATCGGCCCCAATCACCTCGCGGTGGACGGCTCCATCGGATGGCGCGACATTTACGGCCACAAGACGGGCAAGCAAGAGTTTGACAAGTTCTTCACGCCCTTTCCAAACGCCGAGTCCAGCCTCATCATTGCCCCAAAGGACACGCACAGGCGCATCCGCCGGCAGCTTGCCCACGCCTTTAGCGATGGCGCGCTCGCCGAGCAGGAAACAGTCGTCACGCAGTACGTCGACCTCCTCATCGACCGCCTCACGGAGCGCTGCGGAAAGACTGTCAATATCGTCAAGTGGTTCAACTTCACCTCGTTTGACATTATCGGCGAGCTTGCGTACTCGGACTCCTTTCACAGCCTCGAAAGCAACGGCTACCATCCATGGGTCCTGTCCATTTTCAGTCTGATCAAGAGCGCCGCCCTCCGAAGCTTTCTCTACAACTACCGTCTGTTATACTACATTGTCGAGTCTCTTCCCGTGTCCATCTCGCCGGTTGGAGCTTTTACCACGATTCGCGGCTATGCCAGCGAGAAAGCGGTCGAGCGCCTGGGCGAGAGTGAAAAGGCCCGCCAAGACCAGGGTCACAAGGATTTCATGAGCTACATGCTCCGCGACAATAGAGATGGAAACCGAGGCATGAGCGACGTTGAAATTGTCAGCACCACGCCGACGATTATTATTGCAGGGAGCGAGACGACAGCCACTACACTAGCAGGACTCGTCTTCAATCTCAAACACAACCCAGAGGCGCATCAAGCATTGCTGGATGAAATCCGCGGCACATTTGCTACTGAGGAGGAAATTAACATGAAGAGCGCTGCCAAGCTTCAGTATCTCCAGGCTTGCCTGCATGAAACTCTCCGCGTCTACCCGCCGGTCCCCGAAACGACACCGCGTCACTCACCCGGCGCTCTGATAAACGGCGACTACATTCCCAAGGGGGTAAGTAACACCCGGGGCGCAAGGTGTTCGGAAGAGAGAAGATTTTTAAGAAGACTGGCTGCTAACTCAACTCTACTCAACTCAAAACCAGACGCGGCTTTCCGTCTACCAATGGGCCACGTATCGCAACCCAAACAACTTTACCGATCCCGACCTGTACCGCCCCCAGCGATGGCTGCCCGCCACGCACCCGCTGTACGATGAACGGTACAAGAACGACAACAAGGACGTCTTTAAGCCTTTTAGCTTTGGGGCGCGCGACTGCATCGGTAAGAATCTGGCCATGAACGAGCTGCGTCTCATTGCGAGCCGTCTGCTCCATCGCTTCGACTATGAGCTGGCGCCCGGCCAGGACGACTGGATGGCATCGCAGCGGGCGTTTCTGCTGTGGGAAAAGGGAGACTTGCATGTTACTTTAAATAGAAGGACTTTAAAATAGTAGGTTAATCCTACTGCACCCTTCCGTTAGACGTATCTTTTCCCGTCTCTTTGCATGCCGCTAAAATTCAAGGCCATCTGATTCAAGCCACCAAATTTAATTGGTACGCGCTCTCCCAACATGCATGTTGCGTTGCGTTGCGTTGCGTTGCGCCCTGCGCCGGGGTGCTTTAAAAGTGCCATGCTTGTTGGATCACACGGGCTTGCTGGGGAGGGGTTCGGCCCAACAAGGCTTTTTTGTTTGCCCTTTTCAAAACTTTACATCTTCCCATACGTACAAGAGAAATCAGAACAAGATGCAGACTGGAATGGCTACTATCGTGCATGATTCGACAGGCGACGACGACTCATTGCCGACTCGAGTTGCAAAACGAGACTCGGCAAACCCAACCGTCAACCTCGGACCGCTGACTTCGACATTTACACCGCCGCTGAGCTGCACTTCCTTGACGCTTTCTTCCTCCTTTACATTGCGAAACCACATGGACCGCATCGTCTTCAACTATGGCCGTAGGTGCTTGGGAGTCGTCGAGGCTACGCCCAAAGTCGACGAGCCCTGCTACCCGCCGCGTTATGGTGCCGCATTCGAGAGGCTCCAGAGGCTGACGAGAAACAATGTGTATCCCGTGTTTTCGCCAGCTTCCATTTGCCCGTCTGGATATACTTCGGCGTGCGGATTCACGTCATCAAACGCGACAATAGCCATTGCCTCGGCGGAAAACGTCGTCAACGAGTTTGAGATGATGATGAATACACTGCTTGAGGAGACACAGACGGCAATAGCTTGTTGCCCTAGGTAAGAACGGCAGTCTGAGTTTTTTTTTTTTTTTTCTTTGTTGGCTCAGTGAGCCGGGCGCAAATATTTCGAAGCGATTATTGCTAACAAAGCCCATTGGCTTTTTTTTTTCCTGCAGCGCTTATGGATGTTACGCGCTTGGCCCATACAAGTGCATTTACAGACCTTCTGCTGGAGAGTCTCTGACTGGAGACTGGGCCAATAATTGCAGGTACCATTCAACCCCGTCTATATCCAGCATTGCCGCTTCCACGAGCACGACCATGTATGTCGAGGCGCCTGCCGTCGTGCTCGTCCGAGATTTACCAAACGCTGGCTCCAAGACTGGTACACCGTCTGCTGCAGATCCCACGACTACGACAAGTCCCGGCGCCGGAAGTGGTTCCCAAAGCGGTCTATCCACTGGTGTCAAAGCTGCAATTGGAGTCTGCGTTCCTCTGTTTGTCATTTCCGCAGGCTTACTCGTATTCGCATTTATGCGCCGGCGATCGCGGCGCCGCGCCACGCAAGATTCTGTCGAGACCAACAACACGGCAGCACCGACTGCCGATTTCCCCCCTACTTTTGAAAAGATTGAAATGGACGGTTCAGAGCCTCGACAATCCACCGTTCTAAAGTCTCCGTCCGGAGTTGTGTCGCTGCTTTCCGATCGATCTGCAACAACGAGTCCAGGCGCGGGCACACAAATGTCGACCGAGTTGTATGGATCAATGCCGGCGCCTCGCCTGCACGAAGATATCATGGAGCTGCCGGCAGAGAATGAATAGAAGAGGTTACGTGTACTAAGGTAGGTCCCGCTTGTAAATTAGTATTATAATAGTAGATAGTAAGAGAAATAAGTTAAGGAAGCTAAGGTTTAGGGGACTAACGAATTTATAACTTAGTATATTTATAGTAGGGGTTAAGGGTTATAGGAGTGAACTTTAATAATATATTATAACCCCTATCTAGTAGAGCCCTATTAGATACTGGCAGGCTAGCCCGGCGTATTACAGGGACAGGGACATAGGGCTAGCAGAACTGAGCAGATGGGCTTCGAAACAGCGCTGAGCCGGCTACGCTTCGCGCAAGCCGGCGCTCAATATAGTCCATCGAGACATCCTCAGGCATAGGAATAACTTCACAGTCTACTTCACGGTCTTTATATCGCTCTTAGATCTAGAGGAGTTTATACTTATAGTCCTATCTCTAGCTCTTTGCCTTATAAGATAGGACTTAGGACTATAGTAAATTAAGAAAACGCTACTTCTTAGTAAGATTAAAGATAACTATACCTATATAAGCTATACTAGTAAGAAGATTATAATACTTATATAGCTTTTTCTACCTAAGTTTAATAAATACTTTTAATAATTTCTAAGTTTTACTATCTAGCTCCTTAAAAATAGTGGTTTTAATATCTTTCTACTTAGTCTCTAGATCCTTAATTTCTTTATAAATAATTCCCTTAATTATACTTTCTAGGTAGTCTAGTAAAATCTTAATAATAAGAAAGTACTTATTAAAGCTACTATAGATAGATCTAGTGCCTAGTATACTACTACCTTAAAGCTATTTTATAGTAACCTTAGAGGGCTTTAAAAGCTTAACGAGGATCTTAGTAACCTTCTAATTATAAGGACTTAGCTAGTACTTAAGAACTACTAGCTTTATTCTCTTACTACTACTCTTACTCTCCTAATAATACTAAACATTATTAAAGAAGGTATTAAGTACTAGATAGGTATAAGGGTGCTCTTTATTATATACTTATTGAAGTCTTACCTAGTAGTATTATTAAATACCTAATAGAATATTAATAATTTACTAGATTCTTTATAACGTAGTTAATAAATAAGTAGTATAGATAAGTAAGTAGTAT